AGCTGGGAGACCCTTCCTCCCCGTCACTTCACTCCAGGAACTAAGGACACAGTGGTCTGGGGAGCTCTCCATGTAGAGCGAATCAGACACGGCTCACAGCTCAGCCTGTGATGGAGCGGTTAATACTCCAGACGAGCCCTCACAGGTAGTCACGTGAGGAGACCACAGCCCCACAGTGCAGGTGACAAAGAGGGACAGACCAGAAACCGAGAGCCCCGCAGAGCTGCTTAGGGAGAACAGGGAGGTGGTGTCAGTTCCATGTGGAACAAAAGAAAGAAGTTAATTTTTAAATCTCACTAATTTTATTTTACCTCTCCCAAAACATTCCCTATTTATCTTTTTTTTTTTTTTGCCCACGTTGGGTCTTCATTGCTGCACACGGGCAGTGAGCAGGGGATCTTCCCAGACCAGGGCTTGAACCCTTGTGCCCTAGCATTGACAGGAGAATTCTTCACCCCTGCACCACCACGGAAGTCCCTTTCCTGTTTCTCTTAAGAGGCTTGTAGGTATTAAACAAAGGGAAAACAAAGTCATCCTAGGAGGAACTTGCCTGTACCTTTGAGATGCAAATGTCCTATCTGGTCTTCTCAGGAACGCTTATCTCTGCCATCTTTTTATTTTTTTATCTTTTTAAACTGTCTTCCTTTATTTGTTTATATTTGCAATATGACACAGAACCTCAACACAAACACACGCACACTCAAGCCAGCTTGGGGAGAGGGAGCTGGGACAAGGTCGATTGGCAGCTGGGCTGGAAGGACTCCAGCCAGACCCCCGCCCCAGAGTCCGAGGGAGATGAGGGGGAGGGGTCTCGGTGAGTGCGTCAGGGCCCCGTGGGAATGTCACCGGGGAGGCCCCTTGGGACCAGGACCCCCAGCTCCCTCCCACAGAGCTGGCTGGGCCAGGTGCCCAAGGTGGACCTTTGAGCCGAAAGGCCAAGTGTGGGTGTGGGCATCTGCACCGGAGGGTGGGTGGGCATGGTGGGAGGGGCGGGTGGGTGGCATCCTCAGGACCCTCACCACAGCAGCCCCCGGGGGACAGGGTGAAGGTCCAAGCCGCCTCGCCCAGCCCTGCTTCCTTCTGGCTCCCTGCCTGCCCACTCTCTCCCCCCTCAAGATATATACATATATAATGTAGGTCTCTCTCTCCTTTCTCTCTATTCGAAGAAAAGTAACTCAGTGTGAAAAAAAAAACGTTTAAGGAAAGTAAGATGTATGTTTTCAGTAAAAGAAGGTAGGAGGAATGAGAAAAAAAATACTGAAAAGAGTTGTGCATGATCAGGATTTTTTAAGATTGGATTAAATTTAGTTGGATAAGTGGATTTTGTTGGGAGTGGGCTGGGACAAGACTCGATTTGGTTTCTCCCTCCAAAGTTTTCTTGAAATGCTGCTTTTAATAACAGATAGTATGAGTTTCTTTGCCTTTAAGTGATCTGTATTTGCTTTTGAGATTTCCCAAATATCAAATTTTAGTTAAGTTGTAACTTTGAGGTACTTTAGAGGGCCCCTGAGGTATCTTAAAGAGAAATATTTAACTAGGATTATTTGGTATGTTAAGTTAAATGTAATCATTCGTAATTCTGCTTATTGTAACCATGTTTCTTTATCGATTAAACTGTAATCAGATGTTTGGGGTTTTTTTAATTAATTAATTTTTGGTTGTGTTCGGTCTTGGTTGCTGTGCACAGGCTTTCTCTAGTTGCTGCCAGCAGGGGCTACTCCTTGTTGTGGTGCGCAGGCCTCTCACTGCGGTGGCTTCTCTTGTTGTGGAGCACCGGCTCTAGGTGCGAGTGCTTCAGTAGTTGTGGCCCGCGGGCTTCAGTAGTTGTGGCTTATGGGCTCTAGAGTGCAGCCTCAGTAGTTGTGGCACACGGGCTTAGTTGCTCCAGGGCATGTGGGATCTTTCCTGACCAGGGTTCGAACCCGTGTCCCCTGCATTGGCAGGCGGATTCTTGACCACTGCACCACCAGGGAAGGCCTGTAATCAGATGTTTAACCATGCCCTTTAAGTCTTTTGTTACTTATAGATATTTTTTACTCTGATGCTGTTACAAAAAGTGCTTCATCACCAAGGATATTCATAGAAAGGCTATGGAAGCAGTGACAACAGTTTCACACCAAGATGATGGCTATGCAAGGAATACAGCCCATACTGACTTAAAACAAGGAGCTGTCCTGCCCCTGGGGCCCCTAGATCAGGCACCCAGAGATTTTTACTCCCTGACAGGAAGGGTCAACGCCCCTACCCAGGCTTGAAGCAGTTACAGAAGACGGACCATTGCCCTTCTGCTTCCCATAAGAATATGGGAGTAAAATCTCTGCGGGTGGGGGGTGGGGAGGGGGGCCTGTACCTTTGAGATGCAAATGTCCTATCTGGTCTTCTCAGGAACGCTTATCTCTGCCATCTTTTTATTTTTTTATCTTTTTAAACTGTCTTCCTTTATTTGTTTATATTTGCAATATGACACAGAACCTCAACACAAACACACGCACACTCAAGCCAGCTTGGGGAGAGGGAGCTGGGACAAGGTCGATTGGCAGCTGGGCTGGAAGGACTCCAGCCAGACCCCCGCCCCAGAGTCCGAGGGAGATGAGGGGGAGGGGTCTCGGTGAGTGCGTCAGGGCCCCGTGGGAATGTCACCGGGGAGGCCCCTTGGGACCAGGACCCCCAGCTCCCTCCCACAGAGCTGGCTGGGCCAGGTGCCCAAGGTGGACCTTTGAGCCGAAAGGCCAAGTGTGGGTGTGGGCATCTGCACCGGAGGGTGGGTGGGCATGGTGGGAGGGGCGGGTGGGTGGCATCCTCAGGACCCTCACCACAGCAGCCCCCGTGGGACAGGGTGAAGGTCCAAGCCGCCTCGCCCAGCCCTGCTTCCTTCTGGCTCCCTGCCTGCCCACTCTCTCCCCCCTCAAGATATATACATATATAATGTAGGTCTCTCTCTCCTTTCTCTCTATTCGAAGAAAAGTAACTCAGTGTGAAAAAAAAAACGTTTAAGGAAAGTAAGATGTATGTTTTCAGTAAAAGAAGGTAGGAGGAATGAGAAAAAAAATACTGAAAAGAGTTGTGCATGATCAGGATTTTTTAAGATTGGATTAAATTTAGTTGGATAAGTGGATTTTGTTGGGAGTGGGCTGGGACAAGACTCGATTTGGTTTCTCCCTCCAAAGTTTTCTTGAAATGCTGCTTTTAATAACAGATAGTATGAGTTTCTTTGCCTTTAAGTGATCTGTATTTGCTTTTGAGATTTCCCAAATATCAAATTTTAGTTAAGTTGTAACTTTGAGGTACTTTAGAGGGCCCCTGAGGTATCTTAAAGAGAAATATTTAACTAGGATTATTTGGTATGTTAAGTTAAATGTAATCATTCGTAATTCTGCTTATTGTAACCATGTTTCTTTATCGATTAAACTGTAATCAGATGTTTGGGGTTTTTTTAATTAATTAATTTTTGGTTGTGTTCGGTCTTGGTTGCTGTGCACAGGCTTTCTCTAGTTGCTGCCAGCAGGGGCTACTCCTTGTTGTGGTGCGCAGGCCTCTCACTGCGGTGGCTTCTCTTGTTGTGGAGCACCGGCTCTAGGTGCGAGTGCTTCAGTAGTTGTGGCCCGCGGGCTTCAGTAGTTGTGGCTTATGGGCTCTAGAGTGCAGCCTCAGTAGTTGTGGCACACGGGCTTAGTTGCTCCAGGGCATGTGGGATCTTTCCTGACCAGGGTTCGAACCCGTGTCCCCTGCATTGGCAGGCGGATTCTTGACCACTGCACCACCAGGGAAGGCCTGTAATCAGATGTTTAACCATGCCCTTTAAGTCTTTTGTTACTTATAGATATTTTTTACTCTGATGCTGTTACAAAAAGTGCTTCATCACCAAGGATATTCATAGAAAGGCTATGGAAGCAGTGACAACAGTTTCACACCAAGATGATGGCTATGCAAGGAATACAGCCCATACTGACTTAAAACAAGGAGCTGTCCTGCCCCTGGGGCCCCTAGATCAGGCACCCAGAGATTTTTACTCCCTGACAGGAAGGGTCAACGCCCCTACCCAGGCTTGAAGCAGTTACAGAAGACGGACCATTGCCCTTCTGCTTCCCATAAGAATATGGGAGTAAAATCTCTGCGGGTGGGGGGTGGGGAGGGGGGTGCGGCGGGGGT